TATTCTGCTGTTTGGAAACAGCCATATACAGTATTTCTGCATGCAAACACTCGCTGTTCAAGAATAATTTATTAAAAAAAATAATTCAAACTGAAAGTTTTAGGTTGTGATTTTTTTTTTACCTAGTTGGATTGGGTTGGTTGGGTTTTTTAACTCTGAATGCTGGAAGAAGGAAGAGGAGGTGGTCTGAGGAGAGCAGAAATGACAGGCAAAAGATTTTATTTCCAAAGAAAATATTGCTCTTGAAAATAAAAGGACAAATGTTTTTATACATTCAATTTTTTCTGCGTTTTTGACTGAGCCATGGATGATAATAGTAACCTGGAGCCTTTGTGTAACTTCAGTTTCCCGTAGTCAAATGTTACTTTGATGCCCTTGAATTAATAATAATCTCATCATTTTAAGGCCACTCACTTCCTTGGTTTGGTTTTTAAATAGCTACACTGCACCTTATTGCGGCATTGCACGTCGTATTGTTATTCAGAAAGGAAAACAGCAGCCCATGAAGAAATACTGCAAGTGCAATACCTTCTCCCTCAGAGGTGAGGGGTGCAGGAATAGCCCCAGCTACACGTGGTGGGGCTCAGTCAGCAACCTTTGCCTCATGCTCCCACCAGCTCCCTGACATCCCCCTTGTCAGAAGGAAGCAAGAAGATGCTGTGGAAGATCTTCTTCTACCAGGGCTCGTGATGGAGTCTATAACTCACCAGTTTACATTCATGGCCATATGCAACGTACTCAATGCCATGAATCAGCCTGTTCAGTGTAACTCCAGGCTGTGCTTATTTTGTTGAATACAATAATATGGCAGGAAGGAAGCAAGTGTGGGCTTCGGTGCTGCTCTCTTTAGTGATGGGAGGGCCATCTCTTTAGTGATGGGAGGCCCAGGGGAGGGCCAAGTCCTGCAGTGTATCTGCTCCTCTTCCCTGTTTTGCTTGAAGTAAGCATCCCAGGTACTCTCAGGTGCTCCAAATCTCCTAACCTTATTAGGGTTTTGAAAGATAAAAATAATAACCTATAACAGAACTTCCAGTAAGAAGCGGGGGGTAATATAACTAATTAGAAGGGCTTCACAGGAAGCCTGTCCCCTCCTTTCACCTTCTGAATGGGTGACTCCGTTCCTTTAACTCTGCTATGCCTGATGGAACCTGGGTCTCCAGACTGCAAAGGAAACTCATGTTTCCCTTCTCTGATTCCTAGGAAAGTCCTCTGCTCTCCATCACCTCTGAGCTGTGGCTGGCTCCCTGATGCAGGCATGTCCTTCATCTGCTTCTGTTCTCTTCTTGCCTGGTCTTCTCTGTGCTCCAGCAGTTTTCCCCACCATAAGTGTACTTTGCCTGTGTCCCAAGGAGGATGCAGACCCTCTCCCTCTCCTTTGAGATCTTACTGAGCCAGGTTTCAGCAGCCAAGGTGAGGAAGATGGAGAGCCTTGCACACTGCTCTGCTCAAGGTTAAGAGGAAGAGGAAGGTATTGTCTACAGTACGTGTCTGCCAAACCGGAGACATATGAAAGAGTTAATTACTATACCCGGCTCCATCTTCTGAAGTTAGTCCCAGTGGGTTCGTCTCTTGGAGTAGGGTGGCTCTGACTTAATTTCCTGAATTAGACCTTATATCTCTACTATTTTAGTGTTGATGATACAGGAGGAAAGTGGCACTAACTGAATCAGTGAAAATTTGTTACTATCCACGATGAATAATCCAACACTACTATTCTTTCACAAGGCAAATAGATATTTTTTTTTTAATGTGGTGGTTAAAAAACATAGGGGAAACCAGGTAGTTTTAACTTCCCCACACCCCCAAATAGAAACAAAATGTAGTACGAATTTTTAAAGCCATACTACAAATCCTTGGTATCTGCTAAACTAAACCTTATGAAGCTGGAAGTGTTTGTTTTCAAGTTTATTTTAAATTGAAGATTCGTAGTTAATTATGTGGCATTAAGGGAACAAATAAGACTGAATTGTTCCGGTAGTTAACTAGTGATTTCTAGTTCCTAACTGAAAATAGAGAATTTCCAGCTGCCTTAATTCCTCTGAAAACAAATGAAAAATAGTTGCATGAACACTTTCTTATACCAACATAACAGAATTTAAATTTTTGCCAGGAAGAACCAGTATGTTGTCAAGAGCCATCAGTGTATAAAAGTACACAAACAAACCACTTTCTTTTCTCCTGGGTGAGCTGTGGGCTCTTCAGAAGGTTTGGTTTTGCCTTCAGATTGAAATCTCAAGAATGTTAATGAGAAAAGCAATCCATCTTCTCCCTGTCAGACAAGACGGGACAGCTTGTAGTCCCTAAACCTTGAAAATGGAACTTGTGTTTTTTTCAAGATCGCACTGATTGATCTCAAATGTATCTTGTAGTTTGTGCGGTTGGTTTAGACTTAGTTATTTACAGGTGAGCAGCCACAACTATTCTATGTTTGCTTGAGAAATGTGGGCTTATTTTAAATTTAAATATCTATCTGGCTGTCTCTCTCAAACGAATTTGTAATTACTTTATTGAAATGTATGTATGTTTTAATTGTTCATTACTGCTTGTTAAGGTACAAAATAAAAACTGCCATAGTGTAGTTAGTGAATGTAAAACCATGTGCTCCAAACTTTTTACTAACAATTTTTATCTACAGTTTGGATAAGTTTCTTAAAGTGCACGGAAGTGTTTAGGCGAAATGGTGGAGGGAACCCATGTGTGTGATTCTAGCTGGCTATGTAAATCCCCTAGTGAGCCATGGTAATATGAAAGGAGCACTTGAAAGCCAGATGCAATGAAAATTTAAACATATTGAGTTCATAGCATGTGATAGTTTAATCATTATTTAAGCTTTCGAAATGTCACAGCATAATTACTTTCAGAATGAGTACAAACACTTTCATGCACAAAAATTGCTGCAACTTTTGCCCTTCCTGGGAAAGTTACGCTTTTGTGAATTTTCTGAACTTAATCACATCCCTCGGTGGATCACGGGGAAATTCTTATTGAAAATTCAAAATCCAAAAGATTAAAATAAAGTCTACAGATATATTTTAAAACTAAGCCTGTATTTTCTTTATGCTCCTTTAAAAAAAAAAAAAAACAAAACAAACTGTGAAAATATTTCTTTCATTAAAGAACAGATTTGAAACAAAACCAGGTAAATGGAAAATGCTTAGTAAACCCGATTTGCAGAGTCAGAGAATGGAAAGCTACAAAATGTTGGGTTTATAAGCACTCATGCAGGATTACTTTCAGCTCTCCTTCGCAAGTGATACATTTTTAATAAACTCAGAGCATACATGGAACTCTGCCTCCTTTCGTACTTTTAAGGAAAGTAAAAGTACCAGAACTTACTTTCCAAATGTGTCCTGGATTTGGAATATTCTGATGAGTGGAATTGACTTTGCAGTATAAATTGGGTTGATATGTAAAACAGTGTCATGGTCCCAGTCTACACTTTAGATGTACACTTCCACTTTACATAGCCTACTACAATTTGTTTATAATATGAGCAGTTTGGGTTGGTTTTGGGAAAATGTCAGTCATAAGGGTTCTGCCATTTCTGACAAACAGGCTAGGGGAAATTTGTTAATTTGGGGGTGTGATTGTTTACATGTTTTCTAAGTAGAAATCCTTTTGGAGCAGCTGTACATCCTCGTAGCAAAGACTTGAAGGACATAAAATTTGGCCTTTGTTTCAGGAATGCACTGGGAGTTATTTCTGAAATTTGTTGGCATTTTGCCATTGTGAGTCGTTTTAAAACTGAACATTTTACATGTTCTGTAGGAGCAAAGTCAACGTAATCATTTCACATCCCTTAAGGTTTGCGTCGCCTTCTGTGCCCTCGTGAGTTTGTTAGTGCTAACCAGAAGATGAACCTGTTGTCCCCGTGGAGCTGCTGAATGCTATAGATGATGGCTGTTGGGTAGAAGGTAGACTTCTTTGCAACTCATGCAATGGCCTAGGAGTAACTTTCTTTTTTTCTCTCCTGTTGTATTTCACTTGCTGGGCCTGGACACCATGGAGGAGTAATCTAGTTTATTGAAAATTAAGAGATACTAGAATCGGTGAAGGCATAGGGGAGGATTAGGTGGGTAATCTTTAATGTAGCTCTACGTGTATGGAGACAGAATGAGTTCACCAGCAGAAGTGGTTGTGGGAGGTCATGTCTAAATCATGCGACAGTGCAGTGTAGGAAGAGCCTTTCTCTGTCTGCTACATGCTCTTGGGGCAAAAAATGGGGAATTTGCTATGTGTATGTGATAACCTAAATCACTTGTACTTGAACCAAATGAATATTAGAACATGTGTTAGTTTTGCAAAATGACTAAATAACTGTGGAAAGTGTCACTGTTCCCACTCCCAACATGCCCTTCAGTCTGGCAGCCCCAATTTAAGCTCGCTGCCTGCACTTGGCTCTCCTGCCGCGCAGTGCTGTGATGGGGAAGATAAGATAGGCTGACAAAACAGTCATCAAAGATTCACTGGCATCAGGGTGAGTCCTACACGATGAGAAGAGCTATTAATATTTTAAAGGCTGCCATCCATCCCTACAGGCACCAAAGTATTACATCACCACGTGTACACAACAGAGTGGCAGTAATCAATAGATCTAATGTGCTGGGGGCCAGGGACGGACAAGTGTTAGCATTTCCCATGCAGAACGAGTGGATATAATTAAGTGAAATAAACAAGGCTTATCCTTAGAAAAAAAGAAAACTCATTAACTATTCTGAGCTGAAAACCAAGACTTCTTTATCAAATAGTATGGTTGGGTTTGTTAAGGCTTAGAATTTCTCCACCGGTCAAAACCGTACGTTTTTTGCAAAGAAAGCAATGTGGTCTGTAGCTTGAACACAATGATAATAATGATAACTGAGTGGTAAAGAAATGACTTAATGTATGTGATTGTTATTACTGAAAAGCCAAACTGTTAATTTCGAGGCTCACTCGACAGATGACACAGGTGTGCTCTTTCCCTGCAGCTTTCTCACTGCTCCCAAATCCTGTCCCCGCAGGGCCCAGCCTCCTCTCCCAGAGCACGCTCCAGCTCAATTCCAAACCTGAAGGCTCCTTCCAGTACTCGGCCAGCTACCACAGTAACCAGACCCTCGCCCTGGGCGAAACAGGGGCCGCCCAGCTCCCGGCCCGCAGCGGTCAGGCCAGAGGTGCCATCCAGAGCTACAGCCAGGTACGTGTCCTAAGCAGCCCGGGTCTCTCACATCCAAAAATCGTGCAAGGTGGCTCCCAGGAAAGAGAGCTGTTTGGTGCCCACCGGCACGTGAATGTCTGCCTTTACTTTCTGTCGTGTTCAACACATCTCCAGCGGGGTGGAGTTGCCACCTCAATGTTCGTAAATTTAAAGTGGGTTGACTTGCATCGTTATAAAATAATACTGATTAAAAAGAAGATTTACATTGCCAGTTTTACTTACTCACTTGTGTATATATTTTGGTGCCAGCATGTTTAGGCATTTAAGTTTTAAAATTTCTGGGGCTGTGCTCATTAGGAGCCCTAACTAAGGTCTAGGACCTTCCTGCATTGCCATCAGGATATTACTGAAAGCAGTGTCAGCAAACAAAAACAAAGCCAGGATGACGCCAGATGCAAATCCTGGTTGGGATACCGTCCGTTGGCTGGTGCTGTGATGTTATCTCAAGCGTAAGAATAACTTTTTTGCCTTTTTTTCCCCCCAAGACAAGCAACTTCTCAGCCAGCCACCTGTGTGTTTCAAACATTTTGAAAGATTGTTTCAGATACTCATGAAGACTTTATAAATCTCTCTTACTGTTTAAATGATCCTTCCTGGCTCTGACACGTAACCCTCTCACCTTCTGTGCTTTTCACCATGACATCAAAGCCTCTCACTGGGAAGTTAAGCTTCAGTTTAGACAAAAATTTCTAGAAGCGTTCATGCTTCTGTACATAAACAAAGTCTGACTGGGTTTCGTTGGTCAGCTCAGGTTATTTTCTCTGTTTAGATCTTAACCGCCCCAGCAAAGCAGACCATCTCAGTGTGACACTGGGACACATTATAATTCAGGATTCTGTAGAAGTGAGTAGTATTTGAATTTCAAAGCCTTAAATTGCTAAGAGATTTCCAGTATTATATAGTCATTGCACAGCTTGTGGGATACCAAGAGACATACAATATTCTATTCTCTCAATTTGCTCAGAAAAGCTCCCTATCCTCTAAGACTGAAAAATGAAATAAAGCACAGTTGAATTTCATTTCAAATTGGATAGGTACTTTTTTCCTTCTTTGAGGGGTCTAAAATGAGCCTGCATAGTGGTAAGGCCTCAGAGTTTTTCTGTGTTTATCAAAGAGGACCTCCCTGATGTTCTTTGGGATTGGAGCCAGCCGGAGAGCAGGACTCCAGCTAGAAGGCAAAAGGAGGCTATAATATCCAGTTGTAGCCTGGGTAGATGTCATCAGGAGCTGTGCTGCGTGAAAAGCATTGTACCCTGGGGTACAGACTGAAAGGGTGGGATGCAGTCTTCAAGAAATGGTAGAAAAAGTAAGATGATGGAAAAGGAACAGGTTAAAAAGGCAGGAAGGGAAAGCGTGCAATTGTCTCAGAGTTAGAAGTAATGATATCCTTAATATAAATTTCGTCATCCATTCATTCACAGAAAAGGATGGATTTGTGGAGAGAGGAAAAAATCAATGATCTAGATTTCTTTCATTAAAATTACACTGAACAGACGTTGCTTGGACCTGAAAAGCTCTTGTGAGCCATCTATTTCACAGAGAACTGGTTACCTTCAGAAAGGTAACTAGTAAGTTAGTAAGGCAACCTTTCCTATCCCCTCCTTTTCCCTTGGTATGAGAGGGCAGAAAATCGGTTTTCTTTCTTCTGGTTCCTCCAGATGGATGGATGTTATGGTAGGTGTTCCTGTGGGAAAGTAACTCACAGAACACAATTTCACACCATCATCCTGCAAAGGATGCTTCACAACTTCAGATCAATTAAAATAGGTCTTGAAAATATTAAACTGACATATAAACTATGAATTAATACCATTAAAAGCATATATAGGAGGCTTTAAAAGAGGTAAACAGGAAGAGGAAGAGTCAAAAGTTAAAATTAAAAAGTTCTGAATATGACCATTGCTGATCCCACAATTAAGGAGAAAAAAAGTCAATCCTTGGAATTGTTTTGCTATCCCTATTATAATTGAAATAAGCCTCAGGAGTCAAAACTGCTCAGATTGTGATAATTTCCTTTGGTATTTGTGTGCCAGGAATATAGCTATCTCTGAACATGAATGATAGCCCAAATGAGTGGAAAAAATATGTAAATAGTCCCAAGGCCAGCTGTGACAGCAAGAACAATTTCTGAAAATGCAATTGTGTAAAAAAGAGAAACTAATTAGTCTTGGGACTTCCTGTATAGTGCTGCAAAGTGCAGTCTAACATTTTTGTCAATTTGGAGAACTTCATTATAGATCATAGAGTTTTTCCAGTGCTTTGAGTACTTTAGAACATGAAACTTTTATCTTGTAAATGCTAATGGAATAGGATTTTTTAGCAACAACTGCTCCTCTGGCAGGGAAATAGTCTGTTTCCCCACTGAAAACAATTTATCAACCGTGGTGTCCAGATCCTGGTATATCATGTATTAATCGATCAAGTTTATTTGTGAAGATTCAGTAGTGGTTCTTACTACAAAAAGTAGCAGATTTTGCAGATGAGTTGCTCAAAAGTGAACCCTCTATTTGAACAATGTAGTTTGTGAACAACTGATTGATTGGGTTTACTGTCATCTTGCAGAATGGTCAGCTTACATTGTAGGTACCGTAGGAATATAAGGCAGAGCATGTGCTACAAATAGTGGCTTTCCACGTGCTCTGCCATGTATTTGCAAGGGGAGGGGAAAGGAAGTTGAACTAGTTTATGTTTCTGGATGAGGACTTTTTCAGCTTCTGGTGATGCTGTGGTCTTTTTAGAAGCTGAGGCAGAAAGAGAGGTAAATCCCTACTGTGTATTATCCTATGCTCCTGAGCCTTCTGGACTGAACAAACTGGCACAGAATTTGAAAACCCTTAAAAACAAAAAATAGATGTGAAATAAAGGTAATTAAAAAACAAAGCTTTGAAATAATATTTAACAGTTAATTTTCTAACTTCTATCCTCTTTCCTGTAAACAAGTCATAAGTTTCTTGTTCATCACACCACCACACCTCACTAGCCCAATTTAGGATATTAGCTAACAAGTACAAGGATCTGTTTGGTTATCAAGCAAAACCTGCATACCGGCCTGATTCAGTTACACTCGTAGCTCTTCCCTCCATCGGTCATCTGTGCCACAAGGCGATAGGCTGCTTGATAATCTACCCAGACAAAATCTAACATCAGGACTTCGCCTCTGGCAGCACGTGGCAGATGATGATGTGTTTAAACCTGGATTTCAAATATGAAAATGAGAATTTTTCTGTCATTAAAGGAAGCAGATAAATCTCAAAACAGATTACTCTTATTAGGACACTCCAATAGTGTAGCTTATGGTAGTGAAGAACTGATTGGCATAACGCTGATCCTGCAATATTGATCCTACCATAGGTAATGATTGAAGCTTTCATTGCTGCTTTAAAACCAGAGATTTACCATCCCTGGACATTCTCAAAGGATCTCACACAATTCTGTGTGTGGATGTAGAAGACTATGATGGTATTACCTCCCTTCATCTCTATGTATGACCTTTTGAGATTAGGATCAGGTAGGCTGACAGGTTTTCCTGATAGTGTTGGGGTATATTTTACAAACACAGTATAACAATGACCTTGTGCTGGCCATGACTTTTGTGATAAAATCAGGAGAAACAGATGGAAAAGACCATGTTTGACAGATCCAGAGGTAGAGGCTGGCATCTGTTATCATGTAAGTGCATTTTGAATATAGGTAGCATCTCCCTAGCTATGTCAGGAGCTTATAAATAACAGCAAAACAGTCCTGCAGAAGAAAGACTTTTCCACGGGTGCTGCCCAAGGACTGAAGTTTGCATGGCAAAGACTAAGAAATGTTAAGCATCTCCCATACCCTCTTCTCCCCTTTGTAGAAGAGTGTTGATGGAGGTATTGGATCAGAGCAGGGTAGTACCTCGAGCGAAGCCATATGGAAGCTTCTTTAAGCTGAGAGAAAGGCTCCTCTCATAGGCAACAATGTACTGTATATGACAATGTTCATATTCTTCAGATATAACCTTGTTTGAGATTTTAAGGGCCAAGCAATCCCTGAAAGTTCCAGAGACCAAAACAAGCTGAAAACTCGGTGCTGGCATTTAATGCTAAACTAAATATGCTTGGATATACAAGTTCATCCAGACCTGAGACAGGCATGCAGACTTACTCAAATGTAACATACCTTTTCAATTTCTTCTATTATCTGTCAGATATACAGGACTTTGAGCTCAAATTGTCATTTCTTAAGGGTAACTGGTACCATGATTCAAATTTTCCAGCATTTTCCTGACTATGGAGCCATTTCTGTTCTTCTGTTTCTAAGACTCACATAGTTGCATTGACAGAAGTTCTGTTCCTTACCACCTGTGAATTATGAAGCATAGATGCACAAAACCTACCAAGTTTTGGGTTTGTGTTTTGGCACGCCTAAGAAGAAAATATTTTGAAGGGATTTTAGATGATGTACCCAATAGATCTGCTGCACCTGCTAGCGTATTCATAATGGTCGTCTTGTTCTTTGCTGGTTCTTTTGCTATTCAGGTCTTGCTGGTCTTACACGCCATTTTCTCCTCTGGGAACAATCTTCAAGAATCAACATGCCCATGTTTCAGTGATTAGCATCTGACCCCAAAGTTTTGCTTAAGCTGTCTAGCCATTCAGGATTTTGTAAATCCTTATCCATGAAAAAATTTCAGCAGAATAGATACACAGTTATTTGCCCCTCTCAATTCCACTTCACAAAACAGAAGTTTTGTCTGGCAGTCCTTCATTTAACCTTTTTCAGTTAAAGTTCTGATTTAAATTTTAAATTGGAGTTGTGGAAAAAAAAACAACAACAACAAAACAAACCAACAACAAAAAACCCACCAAAAAACAACCCGATTTCCTGAAATTTAGTACATTAAATGCATGAATCATGGCAGGTAAACAGGAGTTAAACTTTTCTCTAGTCTACTATAACCTAACTGGACACCCTCAGTAATTTTCTGTATAGAGCTCTGCAAATCT